GCAGGGACACATCATGGGAAGTCCCGGCTACCTCCCTAGACGAGTCCACCGCCATGGCCACGGTCACCTCCGGGGGAGCCAAGCCAGCAGCAGCCTCATCACCAGGAAACCTTGTCTCCCCCACAACCACTTCGCCGACCATGCGCTCCGAGTCCTGAGGCTCGGTAATCGGTGGCACACCAGAAGATTGGCAAGAAGTCGATGGGGGTCGAGAGAAGACAAAGGCCTAAAAGTTGACAAAGAAACTTGGCAATAAGAACAAAAGAAAGGGGAAACAGATGCAAAGAGACGAAACCAGAAGTCACTCACCCGACTATCTTCTTCTTCATAAAACACAAAGAAGACCTCACAGGGGGAACAACGGCAGCAAAAACGTCCCCGCCACTTGGCGACAGGAGCGGTATAACTGATACCGGAGCCCCAGAAGAAGCCGGGGCTGGAGCCGCAGAAGAACTCGGCATCGGAGGTGCGGAAGAGCTCGGTACCAAGGAACTCAACATCGGAGCTTCAGAAGAAGCCGGCGCGGGAGCCTCAGAAGAACTCGTACCCGACGTCCGGTTACTTCAAAAAGATTAAGACTAAAAATCAAGACAAAGAGGAGAAATTCAATGGAAGGGGAATAAGAAAACAACTCACCGCCGCATGATGAGGGGTACTTCATCATCCTCTTCCCCCTCGGTTTCAACCAAGGCTACCAGACCACCCGCTGAAAAAAGAATAATAGTACTCGGTTCAAGATAAAAAAAAGAGAAAACAAAGAGTATTAAATATGCTCACCTAAGAGCATGCTAGCTACAACTGGAGTACCTGGAAGAGTACTTGGCTTGCGAGACTTCTTGGAAGCAGGCAGGCCAGATGAAGACCCATCCGTTCGCCCCCTCTTCGGGACACTACGTGGACCACGGGGGACTAGACGAGGAACATATTCTTCATATACATCAACAAATCCGGAAGAAACTCTAGGAAGCGCTGCGGAGAACGGGAACTTACTGGTTGCGGAAGCTCCAGCAAGTTTCTCCCTAGTTTTCGCCACGGCAGGGAGAACATCAAGAGGGATTGGGTCAACAAAGTTACGCCCAAACTCCTATGAAAAAGAATAAAACAACAAGACAGGGAAAAGTTAAACAAAAATGGATACAGCAAGAGTACATAAAGTACCCAGACAAAGAGATAAACAACTTACAGCTGGAGGCGAGTTGTTAGCAGAGAACTCGGAGACAGTAAGTGGGACAACGCTTGCTCCTTTCAGCATCTTCTGGAGATGCTCAAATACCTCCTCATCGGTCAGCTCAAGAGCTGGGACCATACGTGAAGGATCCTCAGCCCCAGAGTACTCGAAGCCAAGGTGCTCCCGCTCCTTCAAAGGCTGAACTCGGCGACGAAGGAAACTCGAGACAATACCGAAACCGATTAAACCCTGCTGTTTCAGCATACTAATCCTATCAAGGAGTGGCTGGATTGCCTGCACCTCAGCGGGTGACACGGGGTTCTTATCCCACCGGTCATTAACCGAGGGACCAGACCCAGAATGTATGGAAAGAGAAGGAATCAAATTGGCGGCATAAAACCAATCAGCACGCCAATCCCTCACAGAATCAACCAGGTCATAGTCAAAGAACTTGCTTTTAAGACCCTAGCGAAACTGGATCCCACAGCCGCCAAGAACATTGGTTTCTTCACGCCGGGGTTGAGTCTTCAAACGAAAGAAGTAGCGGAAAAGAGATAGAGAAGGAGGAATTCCAAGGAAAGCTTCACCGAGGTGAACGAAAACAGAAAGATGGAGGACGACATTAGGGGTTAGATGGTTCAGATTAACCCCAAAATAACCAAGAAATTGATGAAGGAAGGCAGAAGCAGGAAGGCAAAGTCCGGCGTGGATAAAGGAAATGAAAAGGACAATCTCACCAGGACCTAGAGCTGGAACCCGGTGCTCGCCCGGAACTCTCCATTCAGCAATGTCTTTGCTTTGGATCAAGCCGTCGCTGACGAGCTCGCGGAGCTGGTCTTCGGTTGTTGTTGGAGCCGGCCAAACCTTCTGAGCAGCCCTCATGGCCACGAACTCTCGGTTCTCGATCAAAGAAAGGGATGACTCCTCATCCACGAAGGCTGCCTGGGACTTGCTCACGGTTTTCTTCTTACCCATGAACTAGCGGAAGCAAAAAGGCACTAGGGAAGATGAAGCTAAGATGGCGGCTCTCGAGTGACGGCGACAATGACGGCGGCGGATTTCTGAAAGCTAGGGTTTCAAGGCAAGAGTTGGGCAGTAAAGAAAAGGAAGATAAAAGGTCTTTAAATAGATTTTTCAGTGATAAAAACGGCCCACCAGGCCCGTTAAGACACGGTGTGGGAACGCAACGGTCCATTTACTGACACAGCTAAAATGACGGACGACACAAATCGACACAACGGTACAGTTTAACGGGCAGATTTCAGACTTATCCATCTAGTACCACGGCAGGGTTATCAGATCACTACAAGAACGACCCGTCAACCATGAAGAAACAAAGGGCTACCTCGCAAGGAACAAAAGAACCCGGTTATTAAAGAAAGAACTCGGGAGTCTCATGAATAACCAGGATTACAGCAGAAAAATGAATGACAACTCTGAAGACAAGATTCTTTCCATTACAAATGGCTTCAAAAATAGAAGATTACACACCTTACAAGACCCAATGAACTCGGCACTACGACAAGCAAGGTAGCAAAAAGGAGCCTGGACACAACTAGGCTCTAGAACGACTACGTGCTCCAAATTGCTACTCGGTAGAACAAATCGGGCTCGGCTACACTGTTTTCTTCAAAGGACGGACGCAGTGCATCCAAGGCAGAAATCAGCAGCACGGCGGGACAACATAGACCAGGGGAAGTCGGCAGACATCTGTCTACCCAAGCCCGACGTGATGCAGGATCAGGTGTTGATCTGCACTGGACAGTCTCAAGACAGACGGCGAGGATCAACCCAGAACTGCCGGATGAGGGAAGAAGCCCACATCACAAGACTTCCTCCAACTACCACCACGTACTTCCAAGTACAATGCCGCTGTGGGATTAGTCTACCTCTAATCCCTATCACAAGACTTCCTCCAGCTACAACAAGACACACAGGAATTACAAGATACGCCCGGGGGCTGCTCTACCTCACAAACTACCATATTCATGACTACGAAGTTTTCAACAAAATGTTCAATGGATGAAAGCATGCACCCCGAGAGGGTATTTATAGATCGAAGGAGCGGTGCACATAGACTAGGAGTACCGACGAAACAAGCCTTTCAAAAGACACAGTGAAAAGACAGGACTCAATAATGAAAGACTCAGAAGTAACAGTACTCGAAGACGAGCATATTCGGAAGAATATGCCAACACTGTACAACCCGTGAACAGGCAACATTTACACTCAACCACCACCATACAACTACACCTGACAAACAGCAGACTACCAGAGAATACGCCAAGAACAATGCGTCCGAGTTCTTTTAGAATCAAAGAACCCAGATAAATGCTCAGAGGCTACAAAAGGAGAAGATTTCAGTTCCTCGAACAAATTAGACTCAAGACCCTCCAACTCTTTGTTCCAAACAGCAAGAGGCTCGGGGGCTACACTCAGTGAGTGCACTTTTTCTTCAAAAAAGCGCACATCACTCGAAAGACTTCTTTAAGTCAGCAATTTTAAAACAACATAAGATTCAAAGATCCTCCAGCTCTTTGTTCCAAATAGCAAGAGGCTCGGGGGCTACACTCAGTGAGTGCACTTTTTTCTTCGAAAAAAGCGCACGTCACCAAGAAGACTTCTTCAGGACAAAACTACTTCAAGGAATCATGACAAAAAGAAGCCGGACCGAGCTATATCCGAGTTCTTTTTGATAAAGAACCCGGACACACGCTTGGGAACATTTCAACGAAGGATCAGAGCGATTTCAAGACAAGACCCTCCAGCTCCTTGTTCCAAATAGCAAGAGGCTCGGGGGCTACACCCAAAGGGGAATACTTTTTTCTTCAAAAAGGTACACTCCACGCGAAGATTTCACAGAGCGCCACACGGTTTCGGTCAAGAAAGCACTCGGACGACGCTTATTTCTGCTCGGCAAAGCCTGAAAGAACAAGACGACGCTTCCAGAGCTCAACCATGAAATGCTCGGGGGCTTGTCGGTGCGGGACCCACAGGATATCCCGCAGGAAGGAGAGAAGATCTAGTCTAACTAGGATTCTTCCTATGTAATCTTAGTAGTAATATTATCCTGTAATCCTACTAAGAACTCTCATTGTAAACCGACTAGGATTCTGACCTCCTGACTATATAAAGGAGGGCAGGGTTCCTAGAGACGGGAGATCATGATTTTCTACAACACAATCAATACAACGCAAGGGCTAATGCCGGCTGGACATAGGGCTATTACTCGATCAACGATCGAGGGCCCGAACCAGGATAAATCGACCGTCTCTTGCGTTCACCGTCGAGTTCCGCATACGCTGAAGCCCGAACAATACTGCCCCGGGGACCCCCGTGGCAGGCTATCGGTGGTAAAACATCGACAGAGAGATTGTTAGATTGATCTCTAACCTAACTGGACCCAACGGCCCAGTTAGGCCTTTGATTCGCGCCCTAATCAAGGGCGTCCCGCCCACCATGGTTGGAGAGCCCCTGTCACCCTACGCTATAAAAAGAGGTGGAGACCGGCGGCTCTTATCACGAGGTTGACCTGAGCCGACCTCTCCACCGACAAACCCTAAACCCGATCTAAGTGAGGGGCGCAGCCAGTGACGGGAAGTACCTCCACCGCTGCACTGCGCCGCCGTCGATCTTCACCGCCGGCACCGCATCTCCGACCCGTCTTCCCCGACCGTCGCTGTCCGTGCGCAGACTACATCAACGAACCCGATGGCGGCCTCCGAACCCTCCCCCTCTGCCGTGTCAGGTTCGGTGCCTTCCCCCCTCCCTCTCTGTCTCTTTAGTTTTAGAAGCACTAAGATGTACAGTGTCTATTTTATCCCGAATAAAATCAGTCTATGGCAATGGCTAGATCTACGATCCTACTGTTCCTACAGTCAAAGCACTGCCTCCTCCGGCTCAGGAACAGAGCCTCGGAGCTGACCACCAGAGGGGCGACGTACCCCAGGACCAGGACGACGAGCATGGCGACCGAGGTGGCCGCCGCCGCCTCGGGTCTCCTCTTGGCGTGGAAGATCTGGAGGACGGTGAAGACGCACGGCAGCGTCGTCGAGATCACCAGCAGGATGCTCTCCAAGTCCATCCTCGAGATCGACTCCGAGATCTGGTCGGAGTACATCCCGAACAACCTGATGTCGACCTTGTCAAAGAAGAGAGGGTCCGTCTTGTTCCTCAGGCTGCTGATCGCTCCCCTTCCATGGCCTTGCGCCTTCCCGTCCAGCGAGGCTAAATAAACGGTGACCAGTATCTGGCAGTCCGTCGTCGAGCTGTTGTACTCTCGGCAGGCGATCATGCACAGGATGCCCGTCTTCGGATCAAAGACACCCTCTGCTGCCATTCGCCGTTCTTCAAGGGTGACCCCGTACGTCCCGTTCTTGGGACGCACCCAGCCCGCAGGTGGAAACTGCTCACGGATGTCGTAGCTGACGGTCAACAGCTCCTGCGAATTCATGTCGACCACGGCGTGCCGGGAGAAGGAATCGTCGGCGGCCAGCTGATCACCATAGACCATCGCCGAGCCGATCGTAACCGGGTAGGCGTCTCCACTCAGCATCATCATGCTTTTAGTCTCGTAGAAATGAAACTCGAAGTCATGATCGGTGTAGTTAGGAGCAACGAACGGCCCCTTAACCTTCTTCTTGCGCTTGCCCGATACAGGATCCTGGAGATAATGCTTCTTCGCCTCCTCCACCATCGTGTAGTCGTACTTCACTTCTGAGAAGTTGCCTCTATGGATGCTGACATCGATGCTCGACAGTCGTTTCACACCATTGACACCAGAGGCATCGTTGGCGCCATCAGCCGCTCTGCTCGAGTTCCAAAGCATGCCGGCGACGGCACTCCGATCCCGAATCGTCCAGACTCCCGGGAACCAGAAGCTCATGCCCATGTCGCACTCCTTGTTCACCGGCATGGACGCCCCAGAGCTCACCACACGGCACGCCCTGAGGCAGAGCATGCTCCGAGCTGAATCCCAGTGCCCCTCGGCGACAACCACCTCGTCCTTGACCATGAAGGGTGGGCGTGGCTGCAGACGTCTCCACATCTGCGTGTCGTTGGAGAACGCCGCGTACGCGCGCACGGACCCGTTTCTTGTGCACTGCACCTCGCTGATGTGCAGGCGCCGCGCTGGCGAGGAGCTCAGCGGGTGCGCGCCGTCGCCGTCCTGCAGCTTGTAAGAAGTCGTGAGACGCTCTTTGAGGTGCGTGCATGAGAAGTTGGAGCCGCGCGCCTGGAGCGCGCCCCTCGTTGCCGCGGCAGAAGATGGCGGCAGCTGCGGGCAGGAGGCGCGCTTGCCATAGTGGTAGGTGCCGTCTTCGTCGTACGCGACGAGAGAAAGATGGTCTTGAAGCCAGTGGCCTCGAGGCTGCCGGTGATGAAGGGGTCCGTGATGCTGGAGGGGTTGGGGACGCGGAGGTAGAGGGAGACGCTGCGGAGGCGCTTGGTGGAGCCGTTCTCCTCGGAATAGGAGCCTGTGCCAGTCATGCAAAGCTCCCCGGAGCCGGAGGTGGTGCCGTTGAAGTAGTAACCCTCAAAGGAGAAGGTGACAGAGTGACTGCCCACGTAGTGATGGCGTCGCCGCCGATGGGATCCCAGATAGTGGCTTTCCTTCACAAATGGCGAGCACAAGAAAAGGTGCGGCAAGGAAGGTGCTGATTAGGAGGATTTGACTATATCTCTTTTTCTTTTCATAGATTAATTAATAATTAATTCAAAAAACTATAAAAATCAAAGGATTAGATTTATTTGAGGTACTACCTCCTAGTAAGTAAAGAGGTTACCATAGTATTGCTCATTAAAAAATACATAGCAAAATGCCCGTTTAATTTTGCTATGAAAATACTTAGTAAAACCATCTGTTATTTCTCTGTTTCATATATAATAATCCCGAGTTGGACTATATTTGGATCAAAACCACAGCTGGGCTTTGCTGCTTGGGGTGGAAAAGTTGCATCTTTTATCAGCCGTTGGATGTGAAATGGAGGGCATCGGGCGTGAAGTAAGTCACCGGTGACTTTCCTTCGGCAAGTTAGAGAATCTGAACCCTCTTCACACACGGCAACACCCCACAGCCACAGGCCACCACGAAGCTTCCTTGATGGACCAACGAATCTTCGATGACTTGACCGCAGGAGTTAAAACTGATTGAATTGGATAACGGGCCATTGGCAGATAAAATATGTTATGGAAAATCCCTTCACAAATGGATTGTTGCTCTTTTTTTTTTCATTACACAGTACAACGTAGTCATTTACAACACGCCCGCACACTCACCCATATGAAAACACGTACGTAAACACACATGTAGCAGAACCACCCGAAATAGCATACTTACGAAGGCGCTTGTCTTCCATCAGACACTAAGCACCTCGAAAGTAACTACAGCGAGCGGTGTCCGTCGAGCACACCCCAAGGGAGAACCCGAAAGATCCACATTTTTCCCAAGGATACAATAATGAAAACGAGTTACAACACAAGTCTATCTTATACATTAGAGTTTCTTGAAAAGTACATTATTACAATACCAAATATAGAGTGCGGAATGATCAACAGCGGAATATTAAAAGATAACATCTAGCGATAAGATAACGAGGATTCCGTCTGAGCCCGCCAGATGGATCCTCCACACAAGGAACTCCTCAAGCGTCACCTGCAACAGGGGTAAATAAACCCTGAGTACACAATGTACTCGCAAGACTTATCCGACAGTGGGAATACTTTTCCGACTCCAAGGAATATGCTAGGCTTTATGGTTTGCTGGTTCTCTTTTAGCAAAAAGCAATACTAATAGTGAGTCCTTATTGATACATTATTATCATCAGCCGTATTAAGTTTTCATCTAGTCAATCTATATAAGCCTGTTCTACTTTCAAGCAAGAGTTGAGCAATCAGTTCCATTTCTTCTCCTTTCAACTTTCAGTTCTTACTACGGTGCTAAACCGCAGACAAGCCGTACCGGATAACCCGGCGATTCGCGAATCAATGTGCCCAGCTGGGTACCCCGAAAACACATGCCCCGTTTGTACCCCAGGCACAAGCAGGACCAACCCATCACTCTCCTGTCCCGGGTGTCCAGGTCCCCGTCCAAACTAGGACTCCAAGCCCCCGCCCCTGAGTCCCGGACTCAGTGCGGTGCAAGGACCTCCTCCACCAAAATAAAACCCTGACAGTCGGTCCGGAAAGAGCCGGATCCGCGACAAGAGAGCAACAAGTCTTCCAAGCGCCCATACACAAGTATGTGCTCGGGATAATAAGTCTGTGACCTGCCTAGAGTCATATGCAACGATCGGTCCTTAACCGACCAGACAGGGAAAAATAGTGTAACCAAGCTATGCCCCGTGTCCACGGCAACACAACTCCTTACACTCACCAATACCCAAACCATATCCCTATCCGGTCATCATTTTTCTTTCCACCATTTTGATATTTTCCAAGTGATAGTAATCCAATAATATATTTCCTATCTCTCGCGAGTGACAGGCAATCACTCGACTTCTACCGGAGTCCTGTAGCATAGCATTCTACACGATCCTGTCATACTAGTAAGACTCATAGGAATAAAGATATATATGCAAGTGGGTTTCATTCAACTCCTTGAAACTTAATGCACAAATATAATTTAAACTGCAGAAAAGTAGAGGTTATGCACCGGGGCTTGCCTTGGGCAGGCGCGGTGTCAGCAAAGTCAGTGACGGGTGGCTCCGGAACGTCCTCCTGCACGAGGATCTCCTCGTACTCTTCGATGACTTCGTCGTACTCCTGCTCGCCGAATGTCACGATCTCCAGTGGCTCGTCCTCTATATGCATGCAGTGATGATGATGCAATAATTAATATATAGGCAACCGCAACTCTTAAAATAAGAATACATCTACCAAGCTACTAAGCTAACTCTAATGACTAATACGCAAAGTTACCTATTATTCCCACTAAACAAGTATGAAACATTTCATGTATTATCTTAGCAACTAAAGGCATCCTTATTGTTAATATCAATTTACTATATATATAATAAAACAAAGTGCACTAGCTACCATGCATCATAAAAATGTATTCTCTAAATAACCATAACGAGCATTTCAACATAATAAAGTAACCCTAAAGGTATCACTGAACTATACGAACTAATTACACTAACAGATAGATCATGAATTTAGGAATCTAACAAAAAAAAATTTCACAATCAATAAATAAATTCAAATGAGCTCTAGAGATGAAGAAAACGATATTATTGGAGGAGGCCAATTAGCTTGATTAACCAACTGATCTATTCGCACCTTTGCGTGTTCTTGGAAAAGGTAGAACACGAAGCGGTGAATCGGATGTGAGATGCTGGTTACTTGATTTGAGAGAAGTGAATGATCAGTGGAGCGGAACAGCTCGATGGCTCGGCATGTCCTTATAAAGGCAAAAGACGCGGGGAGGGAGAAGCTGGCTCGTTGCACGCGGTCACGGTCAGTCATGCTCGTACCGCTACCGTGCCGATGATGGATGCGTGAGGAATGGGTGAACAGTGTTTCGTCACCTAACAAGTCAGAGCAGAGCCAGTGCCTTCAGGCTGTGTTTGTGATCAGCAGCCCGACATAAATGTGAAAGGGAGATTCTGAACTTCTGATGATGCTTGCCGTGTCCTATCCATCAGTCAAGTCTTTGCCTGAAAGCAGGACAGCGGCGGGCGAGCATACCGTGTGCGACGGGTGGGGGTGGCCAGTGCCGTGTAGAGATATATTTTAAAGTTTTAGCTGTAGAGATGAAGACTTATTTGATCCAAACCGTGCGAATGATTGTCGATGGATATAGCTACAATGTTGCCAACATTGCGCTAGGCAGGACAGTGATGGCGAATGCACAATTAGCAAGCCTTTCAATTAACACGCCGTGCTTGTTGCATGGATATGACCGATCACTGTGAGTATATACTAGCAGGAGCTAGTACATGAATGAAAGATGAACGTACATGCATGGTGCTGATGCCTTCATGCAGGTCTAACAGATTAAACGGAGGAGAAGACCACAGGTCAAAAGCATCCGCTGGGAGACATTTTTCTCGGGTGAACAGTGTTTCCACGTGAACAGTGTTTTCTGCGTGAACAGGTTTTTCTGCGTTGCTGCATTGTCCGACGTGCAAGACGTGCAAGACTCAGTGAACCGTGTTTACTTAGTGCTACCGAAATTTCGCGTTGCTGCAGTGCTGCTGTTGGAAAATCTACGCTGCTGCAATTCTGGCGTGTTGAAAATCTGCTCTGGTACCGGTTCTGACATGTTTGAAACTCATGCTGCTACAGTTCTGCGTGAGGAAAGGATTCATGCACCGTGTTTGCAGAGTAGTGAGCGAGCGGCATGCTCGCCGATCGAACTTGTGAGTGAGATTAATGCGTAGCGTGTGCGACACACTAAGGCAGCGACAGCGCGACGTGCGCTGATAATTTTGCAAGGCGATTAGCAAGCGAAGTAAAGGTGGGATGATTAGAACAACGAGAGATGACAGAGGCGCGTCGCGAGATTGATGAAGATATAAATCTTGCCAAGTGGTATGCTAATAATTAGTGAATGACAATAATTTATCATTTGACTTTGTGGCTAAGGAGCTCTCACGTGGAGAGAGATGACGTGCTGGAAGGACAACTTGGACAAGGAATAAATTAGAGCTCAATTTGAGAATTAGTGCAATAAAATTTAATTTCTCATTTACCACATGCAATAATACATAAACATGATGCTCATGACATGGTTTAATATTCTGATTAAGGCGTAACACCGAGGGTGTTACAACACACCTATGAGCACCTGAGCCGGTAGATCTCTAGATTCATGAAGTCACCATAGGTACCTTGCTGTCGACGGCAACGTCGCCTACCACTAAAAGCATAACGCTTGGAATAAATTCAAAAAAATATAAGCATCCGTGCAAAGTTGAAGACTTGAACTCAGGTGGACAAGTTCCACCACAAGAACCCAATCACATCATCGAGAGAAGCCGAAATATACTCATTCTTCAGAGAGTTAAATTCGCCAGGCCCATTAGACATCCGTTTGGATCACAATTA